CATGCATGCATGCATGCACGCATGCGTGCACACGCACTCGCACTCGCACACCGTTAATATGTACACACGGACACAGTGAGCATAAGCATACACTGATATATGGTTGTGCGCTGTGCGTTCGTGAAGCTCCAAGTGAAACTTGTATTGTGGCAGGTTCCTCCTCAAATCTCACAGTTGGCCCTTCTCTCGAAGAAGACGATGGTTCTGGAGCCGGGTGTTCACTTGACCCAAGTGGCTTGACACCAGCGAGCGCCCTTGTCAGCTCCAAGAACCGGTTCACCTGGTGCCACAGGAACCTTGGGCTTGAAGGAAGGCTTGGCCTTCTTCGTCAATCTTCGAGACGGTGCATCACCTTCTGTTGAAGGTTTCGGGCCACTTGTTGATGGTTCGGAGGATCCTTCTGTGGAAGGCTCTGATCCTTTGTATTTTCTGCAGCCAGGTTTGTACGTCTGTGTCCTTTGTTTTCCTGAGCAGGCAGGAACCAGGAGCATCAGGCTCGACCGTTGGGTTAGCCTTCTTTTCATCTCCGGCTGCATGCGCAGAAGCTGTCGGATGATTCTTCTTCCAGGTGGTAGTAAAGGAGCTGAGAAGGTCTAACTCAAGATGATTAGTCGTGCTGACACGGAGAGGCGTTTTGTGCAATCCAAAGGGTTCACACGAAGCTAGGTCTGCCGTTGGATTACAGTCCAGAGTCATGTGCAGATTTCGCATCTGTTCAATGGAGAACAGAGTACGCACGCGACCTTGGTCAAGAACTTCAATCGTGGTGGCACGTGGCGGCGTGGTTTTGAACCACAGAGTGTCCTTCTTCTTGACAATAGCAGTCTCACTGTCATCAAAAGGAAACTTGGTGCTGGAAGGTGTAAAAGTAAATTCAATCTTGCCGACCGCATAGCGCTCCGCCGCCCTTGATCAGTCTATTGACTGCATAGCGGGAGCCCATGGCAGGAGTGCATCCTGAGTCAAGAAGGACATATGTAGGGCTTCGGTCAAGATTGATACGTTCGGTAAGAGCAGACACCACAATGCATCGGGAATGCTGCGGTGGCACATTGAAATCCACGCTCTTCTTCCTGACCTGTTGTGACAGGTGTATCATATCAGGGAATGGAAACTGTCGCAGGAGTTAGGCACGATTTTTGCACGGATTCGGATCTGTGCCTCTTCCTGATGATCCTTTTGTTCTGTTGTTGTTCTTTTTCCGTCTCTTTCGGT